TGGAGGGACAGTGGGGTCTCGTGGACCCTCCCTGGAACAGGGGGGTGGGGGGGTCCGGCTCCTGAGTTCGGGAGGAGAACAGTGTCTGCTGCCTGGAGAGAAGGGACAACATGAATGTGCTCAGAAGATGGAGTCCACATCCCCGTGTGACCTGCCGCTCCGCCGTGAGTCCTGGCCGCCTCCTGTGACCCGCCCCCTGAGACGCGCTCCCGAGGGGCACAGTGGCAGCCTGTCAGTTCCGCTCACCCGGAATTGACTACAGTGACACTCCGAACCCGGGGGTAGGGGGCGGGGGCAGCCAGGTCGCAGGAACCCTGGCTCCCAGGCAGCCTGCTCCGCACTTTCTCCTCTCTAATCAGACTGTTATTACCGATGCTCAGCTGTGGCCACGCAGGTCAGGTCAGTGTTGCCAAGACAACGGTGGACTTTCTGAACAAACAGGGCTTCTGAAGGGTCGTACATGCGATGCCATCGCTGAAGCAGCCTGGGCCCTCGGGCAGCTGAGGGCAATGACCTTTATCATCCCAAGCCGTCCGCAGACACACAAGGTTAAGTGAATTAACCCCTATGACGGTGAAATGGGGAGACCAATGGAGGGGGACGTAGAGGTAGAGTGTGGAGCTGCCCGCTCCTCAAGGTGAGCTGGAGAGCCACCTTCTGAACTCTCATCTCGTGAACCCACATTTAACTCTGGTGCCTCGCCCGGCGCCGCCCGCATCTGGGCCCAGGCCGCTTGCAGAAAACATGCCCTGAAAGCCTAGGGAGCCGTGTCACCCACGGGCGCTCTGGGGCGGTGTGGGTTACGGAAGGCTGGCTGCTGGAAGCAGGCCCTCCATCCTTTCCTGACGGGTGTCGGTGTGTCTGCTGTGACATGCCCAGTGGGCCTCTGAGCACTTCCTGGAAGAACCCGCCGTGGAAGGAGATAGCCTGAGCTCACAGCCTTTCCCGCTGGGGAGTGTGTGTTCTCTGGGAGGCGTGTGTTAGGAGTCGGTGCGCCTCCTGCGTGGCAGCCTTGCTGGGTCGCTGCCCCTCCGTTCAGGGGGGTCAGGGGAGTGGGGGGCAGGCTTGCTAGTGAGGAGTGAGGGTTGCTGAGCCTCGTGCCCGAGGGGGTTCCTGTTCTCTCAACATCCCTAATGGGTCCCTGTGTGTCCTGAAAGTTCCGCCGTCACACCCCGTCGCAGCACAGGAGGACAGCTGTCATTGCCTGGCTGTTCTCCGGTACCAGCCAGAGCATCCGTGTAAGCTGACCTCTCAGTCATTCCACAAGCGACATCGGTCCCTGGTCTGAGTGCTCACCACCCTCCCAGGGTGGGGCCCAGCTTCCTGGAGCCCCCAGTCCCACCTCCTCCTCTCACTCCGGGCCGAGGCCTCCCGGCATCCTCTCTCCGCTTCCTCCACTTATGAACGTCTCCAGCAAATCGCTTTTCTATATCAGTCATGGCAAGTCGCATTTCTGGATGGAAGCTACGGGTCAGTGCTGTGCTCTCTGCGGTCAGGGCAGAAAACTCCCACCGGTGGGATTAGCCTTCGTGGTGGGTCAGGTGCTTATACTCACGCTCCCCCTTTGAGACTTTTCTCTGCCAGTTTTCTCCTTTCTGCCTCCCCTACATAAAGGGAGGGAGGGAAGAACCCTTTTGTAGGTTCGATTCCCAGTCAGGGCACGTGCGCCCGGGTTGTGGGCTCGATCCCCAGTGTGGGGCGTGCAGGGGGCAGCCGATCAGTGATCCTCTCTCATCACTGATGCTTCTCTCTCTCCCTCTCCCTTCCTCTCTCTGAAATCAATAAAAGTATATATATATTTTAAAAATCTGGATTTTCCTGGGTTGAATGTGCTTCTCCCAGGTTCATAATGACAGGCCAGTGGGTTCCTTATTTCTCAGGTCCTGTTCTGAATTTAAGGAAAACAGTCTCGGCCCACTTTTTATTTTCTCCAAACGGATGAGGGTAAGGCACGCGCGACCTGCCACGCCACGCCTGTGTGGAAAATAGTCCCCACTTATTTGATGTTGGAACCTCCCACATTAGGTGCAAGGTCGGTAATGCAGTTAACTCATCTCTCCCGGGGGACGGAAACATAACTTCCATTTCCCTGTATTTCCAAGAATGCCTCAAAAGTACCAGCGTAAGGCAGCACTTCTGTTAGAAAAATTGCTATCTCTTTGGGGGGGAATGGGACTGCTATCTATTTACTTGTCGAATCTGTATTTCCTTTAGAATTTCTTTCCTAAAAGAGGGAGGGCTCAGCATAGCCAATGTGACGAAGGCCGACGCTGGGACGTACACCTGCTTCGCAGAAAACCAGTTCGGGACGGCCAACGACTCCACGCGCCTGGTGGTCACAGGTGGGGTCCCCACGCGGGCGGAAGCACACGGGTCACTGTGCTGGTGACCTGCGTCCCGTCACGCTGTTCTGCTCTGTGAGGTCTCTGGGATCCTCTCTGTCTTTTTCAACATCCTTGATGGTGTCTGGAGATGTTTATGACCACGGAAGGGTCGTTGATATCTGTAAAAGCCACTTAGAGTTGTGCATTTATTCTGTTCATTTATGGGCAATGTCTGGCCCGAGGACCGTAGAGGGCCCATGAAATCATTTGGTCCGGCCCTGCCCAGGCATGAGGGGTGAGTGAATGAAGTGTTGGACCAAATGGAGCAGGCCCGTTTTTAAGCGGATAATTTTGTGTGGCCCGAGAATGATGTTATAAGTAGCCACATGGCCCTTGGCAGAAAAAAGGCTCCCCACCCCTGATGTACTCATTCAAGAAGAAACCAGAGCACCTACTGTGCGCAGGTCCTCAGTCATGTCATCAGCGCAGATGAAGATGCTGGCCTCCTGGCTGAGGTCAGAAGAAAACAAACAGTGGGAATGAAAAGCGGGGAATTAGTGGAAGGAGAAAAACGCAAACCATCCGGAACTCGGGGGCGTGTGGGAGGTGAGCTGGGCAGACAGGCACACTCTGGGCTAGGTGAGCAGTCGGCCTGGGAACGTTGCTTTCATGGAAACAAAATGCTGGCGTTTTGCTTAAAACATGATTCCACCCCCCCCCACCTCCCAGATCCCACGAGAATAACGCTGGCGCCGTCGAACATGGACGTGTCCGTGGGCGAGAGCGTGGTCCTGCCCTGCCAGGTGCGGCACGACCCCCTGCTGGACGTCGCGTTCACCTGGTACTTCAACGGGGCGCTCGCCGACTTCCAGAAGGACGGCTCTCACCTGGAGAAGGTGGGCGGGGTAAGTGGCCCTTCCTTCCTGCTCAGTGTAGACTCGAAAAGCAGCGCGGTGTGATGCTCAGGAGATGCCTCAGAGTCAGGCTGTTGAGAGCTTCACCCGTGGTGACTCGGCTGCCCTGCTTGGTGTAGGTTCTGCATGAGGCATGAAGCCGTCTCCCTACAAGAGACAGGTAGCGGAAACATGGAGTTTCATAAAGGAATCCCTTCGCTTGGGAATTCAGGCCTTTGTCTAAAGCAGTGGTTCTCAACCTTCTGGCCCTTTAAATACAGTTCCTCATGGTGTGACCCAACCATAAAATAATTATTTTCATTGCTACTTCATAACTGTAATGTTGCTACTGTTATGAATCGTCATGTAAATGTCTGATATGCAGGATGGTCTGAGGCGACCCCTGTGAAAGGGTCATTCGACCGCCAGAGGGGTCGCAACCCACAGGTTGAGAACCGCTGGGCTGGAGGCTGGTCTGTGGCCTTGAATTGGTGTATGGACCTGTGCCTTGGTGACAGCATTCTGCCATCAGCATAAATCAGTAAACCCTCCACCGAGACATGACCCTTAAGCACAGGCAATTCAGGAAATTGGTTTCCTGCTGCGTGAGGAGTCACGTAGCAGCTCTTCCCTGGGATTGTGTGCTGGCAGCAGCATTGGCGTGAACACGGGGGGAGGATGGTCTGCTTGTCTTTCACCCCGAGTATTTCCAAAGTGGTCTTTTAGAAGGGAGAGGGGCAGTTTAAAAAATGAAAACCCAAAATCACAGCTTTCAACCCATGCAGCCCCTTGCCATCAGGACTAGGCTGCACATGCAATAGTCATTGATTACAAAAAGCCAACACACCTTTTGGGGAAAATTACATAAGCTCAAAAAGTTCCAGCAAGCCCGGCTGCCCAAATCTGCCCCTACCCCCCGCCCCCCGGAGACCCACGCACTCCCTCCTCTTCCCAGGAGAGTTGCGCACAGGTGGGGACCGGAGAAAAGCAGGAGCGGGTGCTGAGCTGGCTGTAAAGAGAAGTGTCACCTGGTCAGAGGAGACAGACTCTGCGACCATAGCCTCTGCCCTCGTTTATTTTTGAAACATAAATGCCCGGAGGAAAGCTGGTCTTCAGCCATGGGAATCTGTCTGCAGGCCTGGCGGTTTCCCCCTATCTCCTGTGTGGTTTTCCCCTCTTGTTCCTATTTCCATATGTTCTGGGGTGTCGGTCTTCATCTCCCCCATGTGTTCGTCTCTCTGGATACAGGTCTCCTCCTTGGCCACAGCCTTCACAAGGGGTTGTGTTTGCAGAACAAAAGCGTGTTCCTTGCATGTTTATTCCCACAGAGCTCCTCGGGCGATTTGATGATCAGGAACATCCAGCTGAAGCACGGGGGGAAGTACGTCTGCGTGGTGCAGAGTGCGGTGGACAGTGTCTCCTCGGCCGCTGACCTGGTAGTGAGAGGTAAACGCCGATGCCACCGTGTTTCTTATTGAACATCTTCCCTGGGCCTTTCTCCCCGCAGCGAAACCAGGATGAGGGGGCAGAGGAGCGTGGGGTTTTAATGTTGATTTGTCCCCTGGTCCCTGAGAATGTGACAGTAAGGACGGGTGCAGATTCAAAGAAGTAAAAATTTCAACTCCACCCACCACACAGCAGCTGCTCAGCGGATGTGCTGTGAGCATGTAGTGAAGCCAGTGATCGAGTTTAATATGAAAGGGAATCGTTGTGTGTGCATGCACACACTTGTGCATATGTGTGTGCATGTACGTGTGTGTGCACACATGCACGTGTAGTGCGTGTAGACGTGTGTGTGTGTATGTGTGTGCATGTGTATGGAAACTCCAGAAGAATCAGTGCCATCCTGAATGCCTAGGGCAGTGGTCGGCAAACTCATTAGTCAACAGAGCCAAATATCAACAGTACAACGATTGAAATTTCTTTTGAGAGCCAGATTTTTTAAACTTAAGCTATATAGGTAGGTACATTGTTATTAACTTCATTAGGGTACTCCTAAGGCTTAGGAAGAGCCACACTCAAGGGGCCAAAGAGCCGCATGTGGCTCCTGAGCCGCAGCTTGCAGACCATGGGCCTAGGGGACCTGCGCTGCTCTCCAAGGTGCTGATTCGCTGCTGGGCTGAAATGACCCGCATGTCTCCCAGAGCACAGCAGCCCAGATGACCTTCTGGGACAACTAAGATGTGTCCAGTGGTGGCAGGAGTGGGAACCCCGCCCAAAGCAAAGGACATTGAGTTTGAAAAAGTACAGAAATCCTTCTGAACAGGGGCCTCAAAAGCAGGCGCCATGTGCTGCTGTGAGGCATCCCGATTGCGGAATGACTGCCTCACAGTCAGATTTAAGGCCTAACAATAGAAGCCAAGGGCGGGGGGGGGGGGGGGGGG